AAACGAAAAATTGAAAAATCAAAAAACTGAAAAATCGACAAATTTGAAAACACGAAAAATTGTAAAATTGAAAAACTGTAAAATTGGAAAATGTAAGATCGAAAAATTTCAAACTAAAAAATTGAGGAAACGAAAAATTGAAGAAGCAAAAAAATTGAAAAATCGAAAAAATAAAAACTGAAAACGTGAAAAATTCAAAATAAAAGAGGAAAATTTGAAAAAACAAAAAAATTGTAAAAACTGGGAAAGTTAAAAAAACGAAAAATTGCAAAATCAAAAAAATAAAAATTGGAAACGTAAAAATCGAAAACAGACGAAAGGGAAATTAAAAAAAAAAAACAAAAATCTGTAAAAATTGGGAAATTGAAGAAACAAAAAATTGAAAAATCGGAAATATAAAAATTGAGCTTCAATTTTCAATTTTCGAATTTTTTAATGTTAGATTTTTCACTTTTTTGATGATTCGATATCTTTATCTTTCGATTTTTCGACTTCTCACTTTTAAATTTTTCTGTTTTTCAATTTTTTGACATTTTAGTTTGAGGATTTTTCAATTTGTCGATTCTTCAAATTCTCGATTTTTGGAATTTTCAATTACTCAATTTTTTATTTTTCGATTTCTCGACTTTCGGATATTTCAGTTTTACGATTTCAGTTTTTCGATTCTTCAAATTTTCCGATTTTTCAATATTTCTATTTTTGGCGTTTCGAAATTTTCGATTTTTTCTTTTCTCAATTTTTCTATTAAGTGGTTCTTTGATTTTTCGACTTTTCGATTTCCAGATTTTTTTATTTCTACACTTTTTGATTTCTCAGTTTTTCAATTTTACGACATTTTAGTTTGAGGATTGATCCTCGATTTTTCTATTTTTGATATTGCGAAATTTTCGATTTTTCCTTTTCTCAATTTCTCTATTAAGTAATTCTTTGATTTTTCGACTTTCCGATTTCCCAATTTTTCGATTTTTTGATTTCTACACTTTTTGATTTATCGATATTTCGATTTTTCAATTTTTCGATTTTTTGATGTTTTGATTTCTATATTTTTCAATTTTTCGATTTTTATATTTTTCCAAATATTAATTTTTTGTTTTTCTAAATTTTAGATATTTGTATTTCTTGATTTGATTTTTCGATTTCTCGCTTTTCGATTTTTCGGATTTTCAATTTTTTGATTTTTAAAATTTTTGATTTTTCAAGTTTTCAATTTTTCCGTTTTTAAAGTTTTCAATTTTCAGTTTTCTGATTTTACTTTTTTTTTAATTTTAGATTTTTCGATTTCTCGATTTTCCGATATTTCAGTTTTTTGAATTCTCGATTCATTTTTTTAATATATTTAGATTTCCCGATTTTTTGTTTTTTTAGTACTTCAGTTTTCACAATTTTCGATTTTTCCTTTTCTCAATTTCTCTATTACGCGATTCTTTGTTTTTTTTACTTTTCAAATTCCCAATTTTTAGATTTTTTGATTTCTCCACTTTTTGATTTCTCGATTTTTTGACTTCGAGGCTTCTAGATTTCTCAGTCTTTTGATTTCGAGATGTTTCAATTTTTCAGTTTCGATTTCTCGGTTTTTCGATTTTCGACTTTATGATGGTAGGGATTTTCAATTTTTCGATATTTCAGTTTTGGGGGTTTTTTAATTTCCTGATTTTTTACTTTTTCGATTCTTCATTTGTTCGATTTGTCAATTTTTAGATTTTTTTAATTGTAGATTTTTTGATTTCCCAATTTATAGTTTTTTGATTTTCAGTTTTTCGATTCTTCAAATTTTTCGATTTTTCAATATTTCAATTTTTTAATTTTTCTATTTTTTTGAATTCTCGATTCAGTTTTTCGATTTTTCAATTTTTCAACATTTTAATTTTTCGTTCGTTTTTTTTAATATATTTAGATTTCCCAATTTTTTGTTTTTTTAGTACTTCAGTTTTCACAATTTTCGATTTTTCCTTTTCTCAATTTCTCTATTACGCGATTCTTAGTTTTTTTTTTACTTTTCAAATACCCAATTTTTAGATTTTTTGATTTCTCCACTTTTTGATTTCTCGATTTTTCGACTACGAGGCTTCTCGATTTCTCAATCTTTTGATTTCGAGATGTTTCAATTTTTCAATTTCGATTTCTCGGTACTTTTTAGATTCTTCAATTTTCGATTTTTTGATGTTTTGATTTCTCGATTCAGTTTTTCGATGCTTCAATTTTTCGACATTTTAATTTTTCGTTTTTTTTTTTAATGCAAATCGAAAAATTCAGGGAACGAAAAACTGAAATTTGAAAAAGTGAAAAATTGAAAATCGAAGAAACGAAAAATTGAACAATCAAAAAACTGAAAAATCGATAAATTTGAAAACACGAAAAATTGTAAAATTAAAAAACTGTAAAATTGGAAAATGTAAGATCGAAAAATTTCAAACTAAAAAATTGAGGAAACGAAAAATTGAAGAAGCAAAAAATTGAAAAATCGAAAAAATAAAAACTGAAAACGTGAAAAATCCAAAATAAAAGAGGAGAATTTGAAAAAACAAAAAATTGTAAAAACTGGGAAATTTAAAAAACGAAAAATTGCAAAATCAAAAAAATAAAAATTGGAAACGTAAAAATCGAAAACAGACGAAAGGGAAATTAAAAAAAAACAAAAATCTGTAAAAATTGGGAAATTGAAGAACCAAAAAATTGAAAAATCGGAAATATAAAAATTGAGCTTCAATTTTCAATTTTCGAATTTTTAAATGTTAGATTTTCCACTTTTTTGATGTCTCGATATGTTTATCTTTCGATTTTTCGACTTCTCGCTTTTAAATTTTTCTGTTTTTCAATTTTTCGACATTTAGTTTGAGGATTTTTCAATTTGTCGATTCTTCGAATTCTCGATTTTTGGAATTTTCAATTACTCAATTTTTTATTTTTCGATTTCTCGACTTTCGGATATTTCAGTTTTACGATTTCAGTTTTTCGATTCTTCAAATTTTCCGATTTTTCAATATTTCTATTTTTGGCGTTTCGAAATTTTCGATTTTTTCTTTTCTCAATTTTTCTATTAAGTGGTTCTTTGATTTTTCGACTTTTCGATTTCCCGATTTTTTTATTTCTACACTTTTTGATTTCTCAGTTTTTCAATTTACGACATTTTAGTTTGAGGATTGATCCTCGATTTTTCTATTTTTGATATTGCGAAATTTTCGATTTTTCCTTTTCTCAATTTCTCTATTAAGTGATTCTTTGATTTTTCGACTTTCCGATTTCCCAATTTTTCGATTTTTTGATTTCTACACTTTTTGATTTATCGATATTTCGATTTTTCAATTTTTCGTTTTTTTGATGTTTTGATTTCTAGATTTTTCAATTTTTCGATTTTTATATTTTTCCAAATATTAATTTTTTGCTTTTCTAAATTTTAGATATGTGTATTTCTTGATTTGATTTTTCGATTTCTCGCTTTTCGATTTTTCGGATTTTCAATTTTTTGATTTTTAAAATTTTTGATTTTTCAAGTTTTCAATTTTTCCGTTTTTAAAATTTTCAATTTTCAGTTTTCTGATTTTACTTTTTTTTTAATTTTAGATATTTCGATTTCTCGATTTTCCGATATTTCAGTTTTTTGAATTCTCGATTCAGTTTTTCGATTTTTCAATTTTTCGACATTTTAATTTTTCGTTCTTTTTTTTTAAATATATTTAGATTTCCCGATTTTTTGTTTTTTAGTACTTCAGTTTTCACAATTTTCGATTTTTCCTTTTCTCAATTTCTCTATTACGCGATTCTTTGTTTTTTTTTACTTTTCAAATTCCCAATTTTTAGATTTTTTGAATTCTCCACTTTTTGATTTCTGGATTTTTCGACTTCGAGGCTTCTCGATTTCTCAATCTTTTGATTTCGAGATGTTTCAATTTTTCAATTTCGATTTCTCGGTACTTTTTAGATTCTTCAATTGTTCGATTTTTCAATTTTTAGATTTTCTTAATTGTAGATTTTTCGATTTCCCAATTTCTAGTTTTTTGACTTTTATTTTTTCGATTTTTTAAATTTTATGTAAACGATTTTTCCATTTTTCCATTTTACGATTTTTTGACGTTTCGAATTCCCGGTTTTAAACTTTTTAATATGTATATGTCCTTGTACATATTTCAATTTTACGAATTTTAAAATTTTTCGACTTTTCATGTTTTTGATTTCTTGATTTTCCGAGTTTTCGACATTTCAGTTTTGGATTTTTCATTTTCTCGATTTCCAGTTTTTTGGTTTATAGTTTTTCGATTTTTTAAACTTTATATTAACAATTTTTGCATTTCTCTATTTTACGATTTTTTTTTGTTTCGAATTCCCGATTTTAAACTTTTTAGTATTTTTCGACTTTTAATTTTTTGTGATTTCTCGATTTTTCAAGTTTTCGATTTGTCGATTTTTCAACATTTCAATTTTGGAAATTTTTCAAAATCTAATTTTCTTCAATTTTTCGATTTCGATCGTTCTTTCGACTTTTCCAATTTCGATTTTTCGGTTTTTCAGTTTTCGATTTTAAAAATTTTTCAGGACCGGGATTTGTTGGGCTGCTCTTCAGGGACGAGGGAAGTTCTGTCGACCAATTTTTTGCACATAAATTTGGTTTGGAATTTCCCAAATCGTCACGTGGAAGTTAACATTTTCGTCATTGATCCACAGTAATTTCCAACTCGTGCCATTAGTTCCATTGTCAAGATATTAAATTGAGTTACAAAAGAAATTTAAAATAAGTTAAGTGTATTGCGATTTAAGTCTTTAATAGGTCTTTAAATTACGTCCTGTATTAACATTAAAGTAGAATGTCAACTGAATTATCCAACAAAACGTCTAACGCATACCAAAATATAAAATTAACGACGGCCAAGGTTACTAAGCCTATAAGGATATTATAAATTTAACGCATAGTTAAAAATAATCGTTTATTTTCCCGCTATTATTCATATCCACGTACCTACCTTTCCCCAGTCGCCTTTTTGCTTTATTGGTTTTAGAATAACGAATTTCTTTATTTTTTATTTCAAGATATTTATTTTCATTTCGTAATACATTTTTTATTCCGCAGTTGCAAAATAGTTTTAATTCGTTATATAAATTATCAACTAATATATAAATGTTTGACAGGTTTAAGTATACGTTCCTTCAAATACTATAAATTATGGAAAACAATCATTTTACAAAAATAATTTCAATGACAGTAATAAATTTAAAGCTAAATTAGGGCAAGCTCTTCGTTTTATATTTAAAACAATTATGTAAACTTTTCCTTCCCTGATTCGAGTCACACTCGCTCTAAGTTCAGTTTTAAATTTAAGTGCGCTGCTTCGTTATTCTAGAGAAGCTACTAAGTCGGTGCTCGGAGTGTTCGAATGAGTAAATTAGTCACGTGGTGACACAATGAATTCAAGGAGTATAGACTAGGAAAACTCATTTTCTACAATTATTATCACTGCCGTTCTTAATCAACGTGAGAGGCCGTACGGTCATAACAATCTTCAATGTGCGATATATTTATAGAAAAATTTGATTTTTAGTTTCAAAATCCTCAACAATGTATTAACAACAGACTAGATCTATAAATTAATGTCAACTTTAATACTATCAAAATACTAATTTACGGAAATAATACACTCTAGTAAAGACGAAATTCGGGCACTGGTCCCAAATTCCAGTTCTCTAATCTAAATACTTTTCACTTAAACTCTAGTTACCCGCTTGATAATGAAAAAAGATCTACTACTAAAATATCCTCATTTTATTAGTCGCTATATAGATGTTTTAACGCTATTCGGATTCGTCATCGTCTACGTTCGTAAAATTGCTTGGCACACACTGTAAAAAAAAATTAGTAGAGTGAGCACACCTCGTCGAAAGCTTACGTCATTTGTTGATATTTTGGCCGACAATAACGTCAGCTCTGGGTAAATCCAAGGCTTTCGTAGCGGATCCTTCTGTGACACTTTCCACGATTCGTACCCTTCAGCTGCCTTCTTTAGCTGCTTTACCACTTTCGGTGCGAATTTTTGCGTGATTTTATTCACCAACCATATGGGCAACTTGCCTCTGGGGTCGGTCTGCGAGATGTAGCCCAGGAAGCAGCCTCGTTCGTGGTACCTCACCACGAACCCCGTCAGGTGCGATGTGGCCCTACAACATTGTTTCATAATTGGGTCTAGGTTGTGGTGGTTTTCCACCTGATGAAACCTTTCCTCGGAGGATAGTCCTTGTGGTGGACTGAATGGTTCAGGATGAGTTTTTCCTCCCCTAGGTCTAGCCAAGACCGTTGTAGCACGAAGTCGCGGTTTTTTACGGGTGCGGGACATGATACTGGAAGTTACAACTCAAAAGTTAGAGCGAAAATTTGGTGAAATGGTACTTACAAGCGTAGTAACCGACGTCATTGTTTGGATTGAGATAACCTATTTCTATTGAGGCCAGCATGTGTTCATCCCAGTCTTTTCTGTAATCGGGGTCATGTAAGACATCAAACATGGTGTTCGGAGATACGTTGTGGAAGACTGATTGTACTTTGACCATTTTGAAACAGCAGTTTTTCGTCGATTTGGTCCATACCTGGTGAAAAATGTACATATGGTCAGTGGATGTCGAATTTAGAAGAAATAAAATTTTGTGTATGTTTGGAGAACTGCCATTAAAAATGTGGTACATGAGCGGTGTATATTTATGTACTTATGCCATAAAGTTCGATTGTTATCTAAAATTAGAATAGTGCCAGGATATGTCGTTAAAGATTCGTAGTTACTGGTTAATAGCCAGATATTGATCTAAAAGTAGCTCTAATGAGGTCTACCTCATACATATTTTATCTTTTTTAATGAAAAAATTGATATACCTTTTGAAATGTGATAAACCCCAGTTTTCTTCAAATGTTTTAACACTCTGAATTTTAATACCGCATCTGTTCTTTTTGAAAAAGTCAGTTACGATGATTTTAAAAGTTTGATTTTTCAGAATTTTTTTACTCGTATAAACACTTTACTATATCGCTTCCCCCTTTAAGTTAAAAACAATGGCATGTAGAGAATCTGTATCCACTTTCAAGGTATAGTTTTATCAGGACTTCCTATGTATGTACATTTATAAAGTTCCACAAGGTTAATTTTTAGATTTTTTTAATGAAAAATTTGAAGTTAAGAAAGTTTGAAATTTTTTCATCGTACATTTTGGGATTTTGCAATTTCTCATTTTTGCAATCTTTTCAAATTCTCAATTTTTAGATTTTCGAATTTTCAATTTTTGGTTTCTTCAATTTCCCAATTTTTACAATTTTTTGTTTTGTCAAATTTCTGTTTCTTCTATTTTTGATTTTTCCCGTTTTCAATTTTTATTTTTTCAATTTTTTGATTTTTTCGGTTCTCCAATCTTTCGTTTCTTCAATTTTTTGTTTCTTCAATTTTTCTATTTGCAATTTCTCCATCTTAAAATTTCTCGATTTTACGATTTTGTTATTTAATAATTTTTCTTTCTTCGATTTTTCGATTTTTCACTTTTTCAATTTTAAATTTTTTGATTTTTCAATTTTTCGTTTCTTCAGTGTTTTAGTTTGAAATTTTTCGATCTTAAATTTTCTTGTTTTACAATTTCTCAATTTTTCGTGTTTTCAGATTCTCAATATTTAGATTTTCGATTTTTCCATTTTTCGTTTCTTCAATTTTTCGATTTGAAATTTTTCGATTGTACATTTTCCAATTTTTTCAAGCTTCAGTTTTTCGTTTCTTGAATTTTTCGAATTGCAATTTCTCGATCTTACAATTTCACAGTTTTAAGATTTCTTATTTAATAATTTTAGTTTCTTCAAATTTTCGATTTTTCATTTCTCAATATTGATTTTTTCAATTTTTCAATTTTTTGTTTCTTCAATTTTTGAATTGGATAATAATTTTCGGTCGCACATTTTCCGATTTTACAATTTTTCGTGTTTTCGAATTGTCGATTTTTCAGTTTTTCGATTTTTCATTTTTCAGTTTTTTACTTTTTCAAGTTCCAATTTTTCCTTTTTCAGTTTTGAATTTTTCGACTTTCCAATTTTTCGATTGTGCATTTTCCGATTTCATCATTTTTCAATTTCATAATTTTTTGTCGTCATTTTGTTGATCTTTTTCGATTTTTGAATTTTTAAATATTTTATCACTTCGTATTCACAATTTTTTAATAAGCAATTTTTCGATTTTACAATCTTCAATTTTACAGTTTTTCATTTTTCCGATTTTTTGATTTTTCATTATTCGATTTGTAGTTTCTCGATTAACAATTTTTGGATTTTACAATATTTCGTTTTTTCAATTTTTCGTTTCTTCAATTTTTCGTTTATTGAACTTTTCGATTTTTCAATTATTCGTTAGTTCAATTTTTTAGTTTGAAGTTGTTCGATCGTATATTTTTCAGTTTTACGATTTTTCGTGTTTTCAATTTTTCACTTTTTCGATTTGCAATTTTTCGATCTTACAATTTTTCGTTCCTTCAAATTTTTCGTTTCTTCACTTTTTCGATGTTTCAATTTTTCGTTAGGTCAATTTTTCAATTGTATATTTTTCAATTTTACAGTTTTTCTTCTTTTCATTTTGTTTTTTTCGATTTTTGAATTTTTCAATATTTTAATTTTTCGTGTTTTCAATTTTTCACTTTTTGATTTGCATTTTTCCGATCTTATAATTTTTCGTTTCTTTAATTTTTCGATTTTTTAATTTTGAAATATTTTAGTGTTACCTTTTCTCGATTTTTAAATTTTTTGATCTGAAATTTTTCGATTTTATAATTTCCGGTTTTACAGTTTTTTATTTTTCCGATTTTTGATATTCCCTTTTTTCAATTTTTCGGTTTCTCACTTATTAATTTTTCGATTTTTCACTTTTTCGATTTGCAGTTTCTCGATTTTACGAATTTTCGTATTTTATAATTTTTGTTTAAAATTTTTTACTTTTTCAGTTTTGAATTTTTCGATTTTTCAATTTTTCGTTGGTTCAATTTTTAATTTGAAATTTTTCAATACTATGTTTTTCAATTTTACAATTTCTCATGTTTTCAGATTTTTGAGTTTTTCGATTTTTGAATTTTTCAGTATTTTAATTTTTCTTGTTTTCAACTTTTCATTTTTTCGATTTGCAAATTTCCGATCTTATAATTTTTCGTTTCTTCAATTTTTCATTTTTCAATTTTTCTTTTTCAAATTTCCGATTATATAAATTTTCAATTTTTTGATGCATCAATTTTTCGTTTTGTCAATTCTTCGATTTTTCAGTTCATCGATTTTTCAGTTCATCGATTTTTTAATTTCTCGTTTTTTCAAAATTTTCCCTTTGATTTTGGATTTTCCTTTTTTCAATTTTTCAATTTCGGAATTTTTTTATTTTGAATTTTTCCTTTCCAGTTTTTCGATTTGCAGTTTTTCGTCCTTTCAATGTTCGATACATATAATTTTTCATTTTTTTTATTCAATTTTTCGTGTCTTCAATTGCTTCATTTTACAATTTTTCGTTTAATTTCTTGCTTTTTCAATCTTCCTTTCTTCAAGTTTTGATTTTTCTCTTTTCCAGTTTTTAATTTTTAGCTTTTTCAATTTTTCGTTTCTTCAATTTCTTACTTTTGACCGTACATTTTCCGATTATACAAGTTTTCGTGTTTTCAATTTGTTGATTTTTTTGATTTTTCATGTTTTCCATTTTTCGTTTCTTCATTTTTCGCTCTTTCAATTTTACCAATCATATAATTTTTCAGTTTTTTGATTCTTCAATTTTTCGTTTTGTGATTTCTTCTGTTTTTTAGTTCTTCGACTTTTAAATTTTCGATCTTTCAGTTTTTGGTTTCTTCAGTTTTTTTGATTCCTCAATTTCTGGTTTTGTGATTTCTTTGATTCGAGGATCTAAAACCTCGACTTTTAAATGTTGGATTTTTCAGTTTTTCGTTTCTTCAATTTCCCGATTTTACAATTTCCGTGTTTTCAGTTTGTTGATTTTTTCGATTTTTGAAATCTTCAGTGTTTTAACATTTCGTGTTTTACAATTTTTCGATCTTACAATTTTTCGTTTCTTCGCTGTTCCGATTTTTCAATTTTTCGTTTCTTAAATCTCTTGATCTGCAATTTTTCTTTCGTTCAAATTTCCGAATGTATGTTTCAATTTTTTGTATTTTGAATTTTTCGTTTTGTCGATTTTTCAATTTGTAAGGAATGCGGTAGTGTCGAAAACACAAACGAAATGTTGCAATGTTAACAAACTGCCAACTTCCGTACATCCCTCTGGCGAAATCAGGTGGCATAATGTTTAGGTTAATGAAATAGTAGAGTTAGCAATATTTAGTTTATTTAAGGCGTGTGTATGAATTGGGAGAAGGAGAAGCAGAAGTAGAGTGATAGAAGTAGTTATTGTTAGTGTAGTAAAGAACAGTGAAATAAAGATGTGAAAGTGAGTTGTTAGTATGTTTCCACCCTGGTAACCACCCATCATGGTAAACAGAGGTTATCACATGGCGATCCTGCTAACTCCTGGATTTCTAACACTGGTTGAAGACATGGTACCATAAAAGTAGTTGGCGGTTCGTATTTTGAAAAATTGACAACATGGGGAAAACCGTGTCTAAGGACGGAACAGAAGAAGAGAATATCATCGTGCAAGCAGGAAACAGTGGTGGCGTTTCAGCTACTTCGACAATTTCGACGTTCGAGATATTGGGCATCGTGACGTTTCTCGGATTGGTGGCGATGGTGGCGTTCCTCATCTATTTAAGATGCAAGAGAAAATTGGAAAAGAGGATTCGCAGGGAAATCGTCAAGAGTAGAGTCGACCTGGGAGAAGACCGCGTTTAAAACTAGTAAGCGTAAAATTTTTTGTTTTTGTTATGTGCGCAAGTAGATTAACTAAGTTCAAAGGGTAAATTAGGAATAATTTTTAGGAGATAGATAGTATTTTGAACGATAGGTTAGTTAATATTAGGTTCGAAAACACTAGCGCGAAAAATTCAGTAAATATGACTGAAAAATTTGATTTGAAAGTTGCCTCTGGCTTGTTGCCACATATGGATAATTCGGAAGAGGTAACACTACGACTCATCGAAGGTATTGAGTTATATGATTCAATGTTAGAGAACGCAGGGAAACCATTGTTGACTATGTACGTGCTAAAAACTAAGTTGTCACAAAGTGCAAAGTTGCGATTAAACAAAACGTATCCGTCAAATTCAGATTTAATAAAAGATATGAGAGAAAAACTTATCGCGAAAAAATCTATATCGGGTTTATCGATGCAACTTTTTTCAGCCAAACAAGGCAATAAATCGATACAAGACTTTGGTCGTAATATTGAAGACCTAATGTTAAATTTAACAATTGCACAGGCAGATGGAAATGATACCGCGAGCGGCATTTTAGCAAATACCAATGAAAAATTGGCGATTTCGGCATTTGCCAATGGGTTGCGAGACGAAAATCTTCGCCTAATCACCAGGGCGCGGGGATTTTCGACTCTTGCAGAAGCTATCAATGGTGCAGTTGAAGAGTCAAATTTCATCAAAAATTCGGAACAAGTATTCTATACGCGAGATCAGAATGTGCGAGGACA